AACAACAAACCCAACCACAACCACGAACACCAATACAAACACAAAGAAAAAACAAACAAAAAAGCAAACGAAAACAAAAACCTAACAACAAACCCAACCGCAAACACCAATACCAACCAATAACAACACAAAAAAAACGAAAAAGCAAACGAAAACAAACCAAATCCAAACGCAAAACCAACCAAAAACACAAATACCAACCCAAAGAAAAAAACACAAACAAAAACGAAAAAAGAAAGAACAAAAACGAACCAAATCAAACCGCAACCACTAACGCAAACCCAACGGAATCGCCTGTTTTAGCTTAATAAACGACTATAGTACCCCAACTTATTCATAGTCTTTTGCACTCACTTAAACGAACGCGCCTGTTTCAATTTAATGAACAATTTTAATACTCCAAGCTTATCCGTAAAATACCTACAACATTTGCACTTGATCAATCCCCGCTAATTATGTAATCATTTTTTTTTCCCAACACCAAAACAAAGTAATTAAAAAGTAAATTATTTTCCACAAAATGCAATGGTTTTATAAAGGGAAGTAATTTTGTTTTCCTAATTTATCAAAGGGAAGTAAGTGCTATCGGACTAAATAAAGACATAATTAGAATTTTTGTAAAAGATGATATTTTTTTAAAAACTTGTGTTTAATGAACATGCCGACAATTATTACTATAATTTGAAAAATGAAAATTATTTCCCAACACTTTCAATAGTAATTTTTTAGCTCATAAATTTAGACAAATGCGCACGATAATTTTCTAACACTTAAATTCACCCAAGACCAACGACAAACATATGCATTACATACAGAACTGAGCTTTATATATTAGATATATATATATATATATATATATATATATATATATATATATATATATATATATATATATATATATATATATATATATATCCAGAAATTTGAGTTCTGGCCTGGTTTGGAAAGACCCATCCCGTTAGGTTAATTGCATTTTCACACCTGCTAATTAAAACTGCGTTGCTGCGCCGTTAGCGAGCTGATGACTTAAACACCGAGCAGCGTCTAGGTGGGCTGTAAACGATTCACCACTGCCGGGCCGCGGGCCAAGGCCGGTATACCCACGTTTTTTTAACGTTGATAACAGTTGCACAACGATTGCCCAACGTAAATGTGGTCATGTTGTTTAGGCAATTATTGTTTGTGTATTTTTTTTTCTGTCAGCCCACACAGGCATAATGAGGTATTCTGGTCTTTACTTATGGAAGTGGTTGCCTGGCTACCTGATATAGAAACTTGAAGTTGGGTGGCTCAATGTTTTTTTTTTAATTTTCTTTTTTTTTTCTTTTTTTTTTTTATCTTTTTTTTTGTTGTTTAATTAAGCAGTTAACATTTTTCTTTAAAGAATTGTGTAGTTTTACGTTTTCGTTTTATGATATGTACAAACTATCAAAGTAGTCAATAGTACCTTGAGAAAAATCATATTTGTTTTCGCTTAGTTGTTTTGTTTTCTTAAGAATCCTCATAAACCTATTTTTCTTGTTATTGTAGAGAGTAAAGCTTTTCTCTTGTCTGACATAAGAACACATAGATTTTGTTTTTCTTTCGACTGGAAGCGTTATAAATCAAGGCTGATACAATTCATCAACCTTCTACCAGTCAGGACTATCGCAAGTGCTAGTAGAGAGTGAGCTAAAGTTACCGTGTCGGTCCTGACTGCCAGTAAGGCAGGTGAAGTAGGGTACACCTACTTGTGTAGCCTTGGCGTAATTTTGTAGGGATAGTGTAGTCTGCAGTTCGCTCAGCTAAATCCAGTTTTTCTCCCTCGGTTCGTACTGGTGTAAACACACACAAACATATACATATATACATACTTATATACATACATACATACATACATACATACATACATACATACATACATACATACATACATACATACATACATACATACATACATACATACATACATACATACATACATACATACATACATACATACATACATACATACATACATACATACATACATACATACATACATACACACACACACACACACACACACACACACACACACACACACACACACACACATACATACATACATACATACATACATACATACATACATACATACATGTATATATGTATGGGAAGGGGGCATCTAGTTACTAGGAATATGGCGACGCCATTGGGTAGGACTTTATTACTTTAGAGAAACTTACTTCGAATCACTGTTATATGTCTGTTATGTTTAATAAATTTCTCAACTACTGGCTTAGGTTTTGGCAACTTGAATAGAATTTATTTGAAAGTGGAAGATGAATGCATGCATGCGTGTGTGGGTCTGTCTGTGTGTGAGTCGGGGGTTAGTCTGTAGGTCGGTAGACTCCCTGTGTGGATGGCACTAATGAATTATACTGCTACTGGATTTGGTTGTGCGGTGTTTTTTTTTCGAACTGGTTTTCTCATTCAATCCTGGTAAGAATTTCTTGTCGGTCTTTAAAAAAAAAAATTGGAGAAGGGAGTAATACGGGGGAATGGGGGGGGGGGGGGCTCGTACTTTTTTCTGGTTGTTGTTTTTAATTGTTCCGCGCAATTGGTAGTGGGCGTCGGCCCGCGTCACGTGCAGGCACTTATTTGTTATATTTTTATTTACGTGTTTATGTTTACCCAGCTCTGGAGTTGTCGTTGTGTTTCTTCTAATCTCGTTCCTTCTCGAGCTGATCTCGCGAGATCTCGTTATGTTTCCTTTTTTTTAATGCGAGTAAGGAGCGGTGAAATGGATTTAGTGTGTGAGGTATTATTGCGCTTTGTATGGGTCAAAGGGTGCGATTGCATTGGGCAGCGCCTGGTCGCTGTAGGGTGTGGGGGGGGGGGGAGGTGCTAAGGAACCCCCCCCCCACAGCGCCGAAGGCATATGTTTCCCCATCCCTAGGTCGACCACACGCACGCGCGTAGTGTTTTGTTGTCAGAAACATGCTCAGCACATCGACTCAACTTATTGCCCCCCCCCCCCCTCTCCTTCTTCACTTCCACCACCCCCGGGGAATGTTAAAAAACATGGATACTTTCCTGATATAAATGGGCTTGGCCTAGGAAGTTTTTAGCGTGCTATTCGATACCTTAAAGGGGTATCGCTGGTAAATGAAAATAGATCTTTGGCCATTAAACTATTACTTATATAAAGCTATTTCATTTAAAAAAGGTTTTAAATTGGAACTCTAATTTGTAAATAAAAATTTCGCTCAAAAGTGTCGTATAGCACTATAAGCTTTTCCTCTGGCCTTGTAACTTTGAACATCGAAGTGCCAAAAAAAAATCTAGTTTATTAATATCCAATTTTTCTAAATCATATTACACAATTTTTCTGAATCGTATTACACATTATCTGTTGTATTTTTTTTATTCTACCATGTTATTTATTTAATGAACTATTTACACTGTAAGCTTCGTAGTGCTGAGTACATGAGTAGGAGTAAATTAACCCATTGGACTAGGCTGGTGTAACTACATTTTAAAAGAAACGTTACTCTGGCAACGACTAATAGAGTTCTGTCCCCTGCCCTGTCGTCATATTACAGTGCTGTTTCTGCCTGTCTTCACTTCCTTCCTGGCGTCATTCCGAGTTATCGTCCTTTCTATGTCATTTGTAATATTCGATTCGTAACGCTATTTTATAGATTCTAGTTCAGGTGAAAAATCTTATAATTATTTCTTTAAAAAAAAAAACTGTACCGAAACTGTTTTAATATTGCCTTTTTTGTTTTTCCCTATTGAGCATTGAGCCAGGTTGTCTTGTATGTCTAAGGACCCGTAGCCTCTATCTAAGTACTCTAACGTCACTTTAACTTCTTGACCTCAAGACTCCATTTTTTCACCTACGTCACTGTATTAAGTATGAAGTTCTCAATGGTTTATAATAAAATCTTTTATTGATTACAGATATTGAAACGTTTACTTTTTATGCCACAGTAATATTTAATCACTAATAAAATTCACAATACACTGTCATGTCACTCTGTCATAACACATGACGGCCAGTCATCTCAACCCTTCGTGTTAATGTCAACTAGCCATATCAACCAATAATGTCAACCGTTAATGTCAACGAAATCCACTGTCTTCCTTAACCCTCTGCTTTTGCGGTGACGCATATCTTGGATGCCACTAAGGCTAACCGCATTCCTAATTTGTTCAAACTCCTACTTATAAAACAAATATGGAAACATACATTGAACTCAGAAATATATAACTAAAGAAATACCAAGACCGAAATAAAAATTATTTCTCGCCAAGATTCCTCCACTGAAAAGATCTGGCCTGTGATCATGTTTCATTTCCCCTCCATTTCTCGCCATTACAATTTCTGCTCCGCTTCAATTTCCGGTCTCATTTTTCAACCTGCTTACTATTTCATAAAAGTTAAATTAAATTCACTGTATTGTGCCACTTCATCACACGGCCCAACTCCCCATAGTATCGCTGTATGTTCCCGCTGTTCCAATGACTATGGAAAAGTAATGGTGCCATTGTGGATTTTTCTGGTAGATAACGTATTGTGATTAGGTAAGGATTAAAGCTAATCATGCAGAATCGGAATTGGTGAAGGGTTTTCGTTCGAATTCATAGCAGAAATGTGGGTTGGTTTGTTTCAAAAGTGGGTTGACTTGATTAAAAAGTGGGTTTGCCCTGTTGAAAAAAATGGGTTGGCTAGTAACAATTTTTTGGCTTGTTACAAAGAGGTTGAAGTGAGTTGGCTTGTTGAAAAAGTGTGTGTGGGAGTAGGGGGGGGGTTGGTTTGTTGAAATATAGGTTGGTTTGTTAAAAATGTGTTTGGTTTGTTTTAAAAACAGTTGATTGTCTTGTTACAAATATCTTCTATAAAAATATTATTTTAATCACAATTAATAATGTAGATGCAAGGTTTCAAAATATAGGTAAGGATATTATTTCATCAAAATGTATTTGTAATGTTGCCATGTTGTGGCTTATGTTGACTTCATTTATTTTTCCAGCGGCCAGCCCATGTGATGAGAAGAAATGTAAAAAGATGGAAGTGTGTGTAGAGAACATGCAGGTAAGTCATTCACATTTCCTTGGCTGAATTGTATTCTGACTGGAGAAATGCGCAGCCGAGGGTTGCACTCCCAGCGACTGCGCTCCGAGAGAATGCACTCTCATTGAAATGGGCAGAGAAAAGTTGTGCAAATAAAAAAAAAATGCGGGGAAAAAAGAATAATACTTACAAAAACTATAGGGGAACAAATTATTTTTAAAAAAAAAACAATCTAAATATTTCCGTATTTGCATAAAAATATACAATGACTAAAACATTTTATCATAACTGGTTATTTGAAAGGTTTATTATAGTCAAAGATATGACTAACAAGAATATAAATAGCTAAGAATGTATTAATTGTGTATTAAAAGCTTCTGATTATTGCAGTTGGACTTGTCATACACAAACCATTTGATTTAACCCTCAGATTTATAAGGGGAATGGGATTAGGTTTTTTTTTTCAATATTACTTTGCTTGAAATGAAAACGAGTATACGTGTACTGCAACTAATCCAACCATTAAATTGTTTTTAAATCAACCTATTTTAAATTTATTTTTAAATCTCTCTGTTAGTAATTTAATTCTGCACGGTTCCTGTTGATAGAAATTATATCCACATTATTTTAAGACTATCGCCCAAAGAAACCTGAAAAATCCATATTTTTAGGGTTAAAGATATTTTTAGTTTTCAATTGTAATTATTGGCTACTCTGCTGCTAACCCCTAAGGTCTCGAGTTCGGAACCCGGGCTGGAGTGAGTCTGTACAAAGTTGCTGAGTCTACTCAACGCTGATGGGTACCTGAGGTGAACTCTACCTCACCTGGCGTATCCACCGCCAGTTCTAAAGTGATTATTATTTACTCTACTCCCCCTACGAATATGTGAATATGGCTAACCGACAAGCGTTCTCCCCTCCCTTCCCCCAACCCTTACCCCAGAATCTAATTACTGCACCCCTCCCCCAACCCTTACCCAGAAACTAACTACAAGTGTTACTCCCCCCTCCCCACCCAACCCTTACCCCAGAATCTAACTAACTCACCCCTCACCCCCCCCCCCCCCCAACCCCTTAACCCTTACCCCAGCAACTAACTACTAGTGTTACTGTCGACCCCCCTCAACTAACCCCCAATGTTGATATCCCCAGGGCCTGCCGCTGTGCGAGTGTCCGACGCCGTACGTGTGCCGGAGAGCCAAGATCCGGGAGATGTGCGGCACGGACGGCAAAACCTACCCGTCTAGGTGAGGACATTGGTTTGCTTTTCAGATGTTAACTTTGTCACGTGGGTGGGCCAAGTTTCAAATGTTAACTTGTCGCGTGGGTTAGGGTAAAGTTTCAAATGTTAACTTGTCACGTGGGTTAGGGTAAAGTTTCAAATGTTAACTTGTCACGTGGGTGGGCCAAGTTTCAAATGTTAACCAGGTTTGTCACGTGGGTTAAGGCCAAGTTTCAAATGTTAACCAGGTATGTCACGTGGGTGGGCCAAGTTTCAAATGTTAACCAGGTTTGTCACGTGGGTTAGGGCTAAGTTTCAAATGTTAACCTTGTTTGTCACGTGGGTTAAGGCCAAGTTTCAAATGTTAACCTTGTTTGTCACGTGGGTTAGGGCTAAGTTTCAAATGTTAACCTTGTTTGTCACGTGGGTTAGGGCCAAGTTTCAAATGTTAACCTTGTTTGTCACGTGGGTTAGGGCCAAGTTTCAAATGTTAACCTTGTTTGTCACGTGGGTTAAGGCCAAGTTTCAAATGTTAACCTTGTTTGTCACGTGGGTTAGGGCTAAGTTTCAAATGTTAACCTTGTTTGTCACGTGGGTTAGGGCCAAGTTTCAAATGTTAACCTTGTTTGTCACGTGGGTTAGGGCCAAGTTTCAAATGTTAACCTTGTTTGTCACGTGGGTTAAGGCCAAGTTTCAAATGTTAACCTTGTTTGTCACGTGGGTTAGGGCTAAGTTTCAAATGTTAACCTTGTTTGTCACGTGGGTTAGGGCCAAGTTTCAAATTTTAACCTTGTTTGTCACGTGGGTTAGGGCCAAGTTTCAAATGTAATTGTAACTTTGTCACATTGGGTAAGGCCAAGTTTTATTGAAAAATAGTGTAATGTTCAACTCACAAGGTAGAAGACGACGATATCTTTTCAAAGAAAGTCGGGCGGTGGGGTTATTTGATCACTTTTTGGATAATTATTTTTACTTACGATATTCTAATTATATTTGGTTATGAATATATACATAGATTTTACTTGAATATGATCCTGGTGGTGTATAGCTTTTCTATAATTACTCTAATCTGGGAAATGTCAACCGATGGCAAAAAACAAAAACCTCGGAGAAATCTTGACATTAAATAAAACAAGACTTTGTATCCCACCACCCCCCCCCCCCTCCAGCAGCCCCTCCCCTACCACCCATCCCCCATAAGACGCGAGAATTTAGTGATCTGATCTACTCATTGCTTCATGAACCACCACATTAGACAACAAATACGAGGTGGAAACAATTATCACGTGTGTAACACCCCTCCACCCCCCCCCCCCCCCCCAACACCCCCCCCCCCCCATCTGAACTCGAAACTCGAAGTTACATCATCATGCGTCTGTGTCACTTATGGTTAACATTTCTGAATTCCCCGCCACGACGGGGGATAATTTGTTTATTTTACATTGTTATCACACCCACCTCGATCGGTTGTCTCCCTTCACGAATATAAATATGAGAGTAATCTCCCCTTGTCGACCGCGAGCGGTTACCTTGGCTTTGATTTATGTCCCTTTGTTTTCCATCCACCTGCGTTTTTTAGGTGCCACATGAAAATCGCATCTTGTAACGAAGGGAAGGTCGTGAGGAAGAAACACCGAGGGCCCTGCTCGGAGGAGGAGGTGAGCTACGTGGAGAAGAGACTGAAGAAGAACAAGACATTGAGGAAGAGACAGAAACAGGAGGACCTGGAGGCGGAGGAGCTGAAACGCGAGAAGAGGAGAAAGAGAAAAGAGCGCAGGAGGCGGAGGAGAAAGAGCGGGAGGGCTAACAACGGTAAGACGAGACCGAGACGCCACCGTGGAAAGAATCAGCAGAACGTGAAGACTTTTGAAGAGACTTTTCCTGATTATAGCTGGAACTCGAGTTAGTTTTTTAGGGCGCGTTTCGGTGTTTTTTTTTTTTTTTTTGCCCGTGTCGATTCACTTTTGTTTCGGAATTTAGCTTAACACATGAGTATCATTCAGTAAAATGTAGTGTGTACTGACACCAGTCCGTTCAAAAGTGTAACACGTGTTATGTGAACTATGGAATTGTGATTTTATTTTTCTTTGTAAAGAATTGTCTACACACAAAATGATGACGCTGATGAGTCATTCTATTCTGTAAATGTAATTAATTTTTATAATTAATTTTATTTTTCTCCGTGTAGTGGTGTAATTTGGTAGAAGTTTGGTGTATCAAACAGAGGAATTTCATTTTTTTATTCAAACATGGCTTTGTGTTCGAGTAGTAAAATATGTATGTGAAGTAGAGTTGATCAGGAGGGTTTGTGTGTGTTGTCTTGCAACTACGAGGCAAAAACACAGCAACACAGTACACAAACTTCCCAATGTTCAGAAGAGAGTGGAGCGGGTGGTGGGAAGGAGGGGATTTCCTTAAGATTTTAGATGTCCTCAAATATTTTCAAGATCTATGTTGTTTTTTTTGTTTGGGTCTCCTTTGAGTTCCTTGCAGTACAGCAAATCCAGAATGACGGTAGAATATTCTAGGAGTTAGTCTCCAGGCATGGGGTGACTAAAGGAAGAGACTTTTCTCCCCGGGCGGTACTTGTATTCATACACACAGCTCTACGAACAGTATATATATATATATATATATATATATATATATATATATATATATATATATATATATATATATATATATATATATATATATATATATATATATATATATATATATATATATATATATCTTGGCCCTTAGATCTACATTTAATTAGAGTTGAAAACATCAAGTCAGCTCCCAGTATAATGAACTTGGCTACAATTCATCTGTCGAGACCTTCATTACAGAGAAAACTTTGCCAAAAGCTATAAGCTAGAATAGGCGTAGTGCAGATGCAGGGCTGTAGTTTGGAGTATAAATGTTAAAAATGTTGTAGGTGGGGGGGGGGGGGTGAGGGGGTTGGTAGATGAGTTATTTCTTCTCCTGCCTAAGTGTTTTGTTTTTAGTTTAGTTTTTTTTTTTTTTTTTTTGGCGATTGTTGTTATCGTGTTGAGTCACAGGAGGTAAGGTGTTAAGAATAATCGAGAAAAAAATCCTCCCACCCCCCCCCCCCTTACACAGACACCTTCATCGCACAAATGAAGTGTCAGGCCGAATATCAACCTGTTCGTCCTCCTTAACAGCTGCATCCATCACAGATACCCAAATCCCCATGGATTACATTACAGATAACCAGATTCTCCCCGGGATAACATCGCTCACTCATTACACCGTTCCTTACACCTTGTATCAGGTTTGACTGTAATTATTTATTTATAACCCCTGTTTTATAACAATGTGTATTCTCTGCATAATGCTTCTAGGGCAGGGGTCTCCAAACTTTTCAGCCGGAGGGCCGCTTTAACTATCAAATATCAGTTCGGGGGCCAGAATTTTTTAAAATATATTTTCAGGGTCGTGGCGCCCCCCCCCCCCCCCCACCGAAGAACGTCTACCGCCCCTTGCCCCCTCCCCCCCACAACTTATATAGAAATATATACGAATTTCAAGTTTCCTCCCACCCCCCCCCCCCCACCCGAGGTCCACGTTTGCTCTCAAATTTTTCTTCACCTATTTCATTCTTGAAAATGTTTGTTCACACAGGTATGTTGTTCGAAAATTTGAAAGGTACTTTGATGCAAAAGTTTTAATGTTAGGAAAGTCTTCCTTGTGCAAAAACGTATGAAAACCCATGCGCCCTTCTTTGAACGTGTCTCTAAGGAAGTTATTTTATTGCAATTCAATTACCTCCAGCTACTGTTCATCTGGGCAACTGGCCACATTTGCTTCAAATGAGCTTTGAAACAGTCTCACTTCTTCTGCCTTTGAGTCCAAGACAGAAAACCGCTAATGAAACTGCAGCTGGAGGTCTTAAACGATATGCCGTGGGGAACTCAGTGGTTGCTTCAGCCGTAAAGACCTTGCACTGCTGAAAGTGTGTCAAGCTGTTAGCCTGTACTTGTTCCAACAACATGACAAGTTTGTATCTAAAGGCTTGTAGATGGGTGTATAGATCAGAAACTAGATTTCACTTTCTTGCCGTTTTAGGTTCAGAAAATTTAAATGACTAGTTATGTCTGCAGCAGAGGCCAATTTCTATAACCACTCTTCATCAGACAATAATGGCTGTGACTTGCCTTTACTATTAAGAAGTCACCTATTTCTTTTTTTAGATACTCTGCTCAGAATTTTCTCACAAAATTAGCAATCTTACTGATGTGAAATATGGTCTTTGAACTATCTATGGTTAGATATCCTCTTCGGTAACAGTGTCATACATTATATGTAGGGAAGTAGTTTAGAGGTGGAACAGCTGTCCACCGACTCATCCATTGCAATTGAAAAATGGCGAAACTTGCTTGAATTTTTCGCTATTTGAGTCGCAATGTTTTCACCAATGTCTGCAACACGGCGAGTAATTGAATTTGCACACAAAGCTACATTTTTAAATAGTTTTGAATTTTCTGTGCAAATTAAGCTCTTCAGCCACCTCCAAAAAACATTTAATCAGTGGACATAAAGATCGTCGCGGGCCGGATAAAATGACCTCGCGGGCCGGATCCGGCCCGCGGGCCGTAGTTTGGAGACCCCTGTTCTACTAGTTCTAGGGTTTCAAGGACGAAAATCCGTTTTTTATCTCGAGAAACTGATTTGTAGTTATCTTCCCTTTGTACATAATACAATCTACTTTGCCACGAATGATTCCGCCATCACAGTCTACCAAAACGAGGCTATGCGCGTTGTTTTAGCACGCATGAATTACATAGAGGGCTAAGTGATAAAGCCACTGTATAAGATGCTATTGTTTTGGGGTTTTACTTTATGTGGAGTAAAGCAAGGACGAGAAGTTAAAGAGAACATTAAATAAATGAGTTGGTAGGGGGGGAGGTGATATTTTAGAGTTTAAAATAGATATTTAAATGTATAAATGTTGTCTTGTAACTTATGTATTGTAAAAAAAAATTCAATGTTTAAATTCTTTTATAAATGAAAATAAATATAATAAAACGAAAATTGAATTTCTTGATGTGTTGATTTATAACTATTTCTCATGTGAGCGATTAAATGTGTTTAATGTGTGGATATAATGGTGTGTATGGAACAGCATGGCCTAGCGGTAGAGCGCTAGACTGCTAACCTATAAGTCTCGAGCTCGAATGTGGGTTCAAGTCAGTTGAACATCCTTGAGTCCACATAGCTCTGATGGTACCTAACTCACGTTAGGGAAAGTAAAGGCGACTGGGCTTAGTGCTGAACACTCTATCCCTTTATACGCCGAGGTCTAAGAAACGTGAACTCTGTTTCATCTGCCCAGTGGATGTCTAGGTCTAAAGAGGAATCTTTACTACTTTATGTTGTTAAGTAAACATTAAGGTAAGTGATAAAAACAGGGGCGTGATGCAGAAAGACAGTAGCGTCACATAGGCGGTGGCACAGGGTGCGGTCCATTATGTAAGGGTGACACCGAATAGAAATTCGTAAAATTTACTTTTGAAAAAAAATGCTAAATTGTTGATACCCGAACTAGTGCGGATGGGGTCAGTACGCACCCACCCCCCCCCCCCCCTCAGTCAGAGCTATCTAAATGGGGATCTACGTTGCTTTGTGAACGTTAAGGTATGTATCCGTAAAAAAAAAAAATAAAAAAAAAAAAAAAAACAGTACATTTTCCTAGTGGTTTGATGATAAAGTAAAACAGCTTTAAATATTGAATCTATCAATCTAATAAAGGTACGAATCACTGGACAGCGTCAAAAGAAAACAAGATGAATAATTCTAAAAGTCATGGCGAAAATGTCTTGCTTTATTTTTTTTTTAAATTATTTTCTTTAGATTTGCTCTAAGACACGCGAAAACAACAGCTTATTTAATGACTTTGGCAAGACGCAGAGGGTTATTGTTTCTGCTGGCTCTCCGCTCTAGCTGTTACCTCAGGTACGTGGGTGATGGAGACATAAATGTTTATGTATGTGAGGAGTTGCTAGGTCATGAGGGGTAGGTGCAGGATATGTGTGCTGTCGTACATGTAAGACATACACCCACATCACCGTTAAAGTTTACCACTGATGATGATAGAAGTAAGAACGAATACATAACTAAAGTGAAAATAAATGTGATATAATTTAGTTTAAAAAGATGTCTTTGTTAGAACAAAGTTCTTTAATGTAAATCAAATGTGTGTGGTTGTCATATCAAACAGTTATAGTCTTCAACTTCTCTCGTCTGTGTCTAAGATACATGGGACAGCTGAAGTAGGGTTCATGTGTTTCAATGATATCGGAACAGAGGCGTAGCGACCCTACCCGGCACCCGGGGACAAACTTTCAATTTGGCGCCCCACCCACATATATTTTTAATATTTATAATGCAAAACTGCACCTAAAATGAGCTTTTAATTTTTTTTCAACCCATTTTGGCGCCCCCTAGGGTTGGCGCCCGGGGACATAGGACCCCCCCCCCCCCCGCTCGCTACGCCTCTGCATCGGAATATAAGAGTATAATGTCAGATAACCAGAGTCGGGTGATTCAAGAAATTCCAATGGAATCATCTGGTATCCGAACTCCAGACTTTCAGGTTAGCAGTCGTGCGCTCTACCACGCGACGTATATTTAAAACTAGCGTGAATGTCAAATCGAGCAGTTCTCATAGGGATATCCAAAGAAATGGATGGTTGATTAATGTTTGGTCAGATGCGTTGACTGGCAACACGGCTGACGTAAGAAAAGATGGGACTTTCACACACACGTCTGTCTGTCTGTCTGTAGGACAAAGTCAACGACCCGTAACAACTAGTTTCATTGAAACTATTTGTACCTGAGCGACATTGAACAAAATTACGTAAACAAATCTTTATATGTAGCGATACAGTTTCACGCGTGTACTGCTAATCTTTAGCTCATGGGTTAACGACAAGTGATTATTACACTGAACTACCACCAGCATCTGTTGTTGACTATTGTGTTGTGAAACTGAGCACAAACCACCAAGACAATTTTACCTGTACTCTTGCATTTGTTGTACAAACGTGTGTACGGCTAATCTCTACATATCAGACAAGGTGAAGAATGGTCTGAGCTAAGGACTACCCAGCAAAACTACCTTCCGTAGGTATACGTAGGTATTACCTACGTGCACTGTACTGATCCACAGTACTTGGACCAGGTAAGCTAGATCTATCACCTATTGCTCTACATCAGTCAGTCCCTACCTGTACTCACTCAATCACAGGTTGACGGTACCTTGGCCAGTTACCCTGACCGATCGCGTTTCTAGCGGCTCCATCACTCTCTACCTATCTATCCTTCAATTCCACTCTCCTACCCCTCCCACCTCTCCCTCCTACCCCTCCCACCTCTGCCTTGTCCCCCGCTCTTCCACCCGTCTTTCCGACCCCTCCCTCACACCCATCTATCCCACCCGTCTTTCCTATCCATCCCTACATCCCGCCCCTTACATCCCTTCCTCCCACCTCTTTCCTACCTACCCCACCCTCCCTCCCTATAACCCCTCCCTACCACCCGCCCCTTCTATTCCTCCCTACCACTTCTCCCACCCCCTCCCCACCACCCCTCAACTGGTACTTTTTCTTCATCGACCTTTAACCCCAGCATTACTTAGTGTTTCTTTCAGACATTTTTATCCAGAGTTGG